GGATAAAACATACATTGAAAAATATTAGAGAGCTAATTTTTTTTTGGCAGTACTGATAATTGAACACAGGGGTTCTTTACCACTGAGATATCCCCAGCCTGTTTTGATACAGGGTTTCAAGTTGGCAAAGTTGGCCTCAAACTTGAGATCCTCCTGCCTCCTGAGTTGCTGGTATTACAGGCATGTACCACCAAGCCCAGGGAATTCTAATTTGTGTGTCATGTTAGGATACCTAAAGGCGGGTGTTCATAGGATCAAGAACAAAGAACACATCCACCGATCTGCTGCCCCACTTGATCTATCCAACTCTGTGATCATGCAGAGTGTATCTGCACGCACCAGATGAGGATTTGCTGATGATTTAGTTGGACAGGTCATTTCTAACACAGTGTGCTTCCCCGACCCTGCAAGATTATCTCAAGCCGTAAAGTCCTTCATGAAGTGTTTCTTGGAAAGAAGTGGTTCCAAAATCATGCTCCTTTCAAATGCTACCAGATTCAGTTACTGCAAAAGGTAGCTCTTTCCTGGGTAGTGATGGGGACCCTGTCTGAGTAGGTAATCAGATAGGGAAGGATGCCAGTAGGGCCAAGCTCTACCCCTCGAGTCCTCCCATCAGCTCCAGGGCTCTCATGGTCCATGTCAAAGAACACTGGTGGTTTCGACTTAACCCTGTACCATCACTCAGAGAAGCACACATTCTCAGCCGCAAGGACCTTTGCTGCTTCTATGATGCACATCACAAAGCCCCAGTTTGTAGAAGAGTTGTAAGGGCTCCACAGAACATGGACATATATATGAGAATGTACTAGAGTTCTTAGGGAAATGTTAAGGGATATTTTGAAGCTTAGCAGTCCAGGTGGAAAAGTGGGCTGCCTCAGGACAGCATCCCACTCCTCTGGGGCTGTCAGTAATGTGACATGTCATTATCACATTAAAGACTTCTTTGGTACTTTGTGCAGTATTGAGCAGTCAGTGTTCCGCAGAAGCCATGGGGAGGTCACCACCTTGAAAGCTGAGGCGCTCCCTCCTGTGAGCAATGTCAGAATGAGGCATTAAATGAGCAATGAGTCCTTTGGTTCATCTGTGTGCTGGTTAGTAAATGAAGCTGGCACTGCGTCCTACCGGAGGCACACCAGGAATAAGAGGGCCACAGGCAGGGCGTGTCTAGGAGGACAGGTCAAGTACCACTGTATGCAAGACAAACAGGATAATTTTATTCTCATTTTTTTCTTAAAATAAAGATACAATAGAAGTTTTACAATTCAATATGATTAGACTTGATTTATAATTTTAATACTTTTTTTTAAAAAAAAAAAGTTGCAACAGAAACAAAGAACAAGTACAAATTATAAATCTTCTAGAGCAAGGAGAAACTACCTTTCTGATCAAAACATGTAGCACAGCTAAACTTCCTTAGAAAACTTTTTAAACTTTTCTAAATTAAACATTCTTAGAAACTGTTTGTGGAAAGCCTTTCATCTCAAATATCTAAACTATTTTTATAACCACTAAGTGCCTTTACTAACTCATTGATCAAATGCTTCCTAAATTTAGGAACCAATGACCAAATAAAACATATAAGTCTCGATCTTATTTCCAGCTATAAAATATTAATATCTTAAGAAAAAAACCCAAAATATTTTCTAAGCACAGAAGCTTTCTGAAAACTTCAATGACCTTTTCTGGCTCAGTACCTGACTGAAATGTTCAAATGTTTATATTGCACACAAAAAAATTTGAGCAGCATACTACATGTGTGTGAGAAGCTGATGAAAAATAAGATTGGAAAAACCCCCTAAACTATTACATTTACATGATTTAAATATATAGTCTCTATATCTTTAATTAGTTTAAGTAAAAAGGTAAACTTCTGAACAGCACAGAAATACAAACATATTTAGAGTTTTACAAAATATATCCAACCCCTTAGACATGCACAATCTCTTTGGAGTTGCCACAGAAGGGAGCTTGTTTCTTCTCAATAATGAAAGCAGGAAGTTACGTGTACAAAGTCATTCATATGAAAAGAAAGTCATTCATATGAAAAGAACAAAGATGCACATTCCTTTTCTTTGTCTTTGACAAATATTTATGGAATGTTGGGAATTATGGAAGAACAATTCCAATGTTATGAAGCCTGAAGATTGGAATGAGAAAACTCTGAGTGGCACATTACATGCTGCATGGGATGACAATCACCTTGAGTGACCAGGGCAGTGTTCTCTGTCATGTTTAAAAGGTACCAACGGATGGGTGGAAGTCATGAATGCATGCCATCTCTGACCAAAGACTCAGAGCACGCCAATGTCGATGCCATTTCAAGAGTCCCAAGGAATGCCCAATAGGGTTACAGTTCACAGACCACTTTTGGCTCCTCTCCACACTGGAGAGGCAGCAGACATTTTTCTGTGGTTAAGGATTGGGACACTGGCCCTTATAGCATTTAAGAGCTCTCAAACTTACCACTAGCACTGGTGAGAAGAGGACCACTGGCTAAGTTCCACAAAACTTTTCTCCACAGAACATATTAACAAAACTTGCCTGCTAGGAAGATTATGCCATAGTTTCATTTAGAAATTTGTTACTAGCAGATTAAATTGTAACTTCTAAAAAAATTCTTATGTTAGCAGATTAAATACTGCTCTCAAAATACTTTCATTCAGATTCTAAGTGTCTGTTCCTCAGTCATGCAACCATATCTCACTTCTCTTTCTTCCTCATTTGCTTTCTCCTTAGTTATCCAAAGGAAATTAATCTGAACAACATTAAATGACTATTAGATAGAACTTGGAAAGCAGGATATGGTTGAGGAAGTGAGGTCATATCTCTGGTTTGCTGCCAAAGATAAGTGCTGCAATATATTAAAGTGAAAGTAGATAAGAATTCTTTAGGGCTTGGGAGCTAGTGAATCACTAAAGGATTTGGGGATACACTATTCATACTGGTCACATGAGCCAAACACATACACAAAATCATTCTAAGCCTTTGCAACATGCAACTTTTTCTATTCATCTAGCCCACAGACAGTGTTAGATCTCCCTGTCTTACCTATGCTGTTGTTATTGTAGTGCCTTGTAGGAATATACTAGGGTTTTCCTCAAACAGTACTTTAAGTCACATGGACAGCAGCGAAACCACATCCCGCTAGATACAGTCTGTGTGTTTGCACACCTGAGAATAGCCGGCTGACTCTAGCTCCTCAGGCCTAGTTACAAACACTCAGTTCTTAAACATAAAAGACTTGGTATTCACTGGAGAAAGTATAGCCACCAACAGATACACCTTTTATTAGTGTGATGTCAAAAAATGGTCCCAGTGGCCTCTCATGTCTCACAAAATCAGTGTCTGCAGGGGGGCTAGCCACTTAGCTGGAGTCTGGAATGCAATTAGGTGGGCTCCCAGGACAGGGGCCAGGCTTCCTGCCCTCAATATGCTGTGAACTTAGGGATCTTCCTGAGAATATAATGACCTATGAGCCTTGAAAACTCCAGTATCTCCTAGAACCTAAAGGAAAGTGTGGGTATGGTCTTCTGACCATTTTTGATTAAAATTCTATTTTCTGAGATATTTGTTAAGTGATCACTTAAGAGTCAGACCCTTAACATGCAACATTAATTGAATGTCCAATTAAAATATACATTCAATTGAGGAACAGGTGATACTAAAGCAAAGTTAAACTTCATGTAACTATTTTTACTTTAGTAGTTTTCAAAACATGGGTTGGACTGCTTTTGGATGGGAGATGGAAGTTTACCCCCATCATGCAAACCTGGCACAAACTAGAGGAACCAGTATCTTGCTGGCTGACCCTTCACAAGGCTCTCGGCTCCTGGCATGTGACCTGGCAGTTGAGAAGTAACAACTGAACATGAATATACCATCATGTTCCAACTAATGATGTGGCCTTGAAATGAGATCTTAGAATGAATTCTTTATAGTCTCAGTACAACAGTGACTAAAGTACCTTTTAAGGTTTTGTTTGGTATTATTTTCTTATCTTCAAATATTTCCTGAGGTTAATTTTTCTGGCTAACATGAAATAATGAAGTTCTCACATTAAGCCCCTCAATTTATCATCATTGAATTCTCAAGTTTTTTCTGGGGGGGTGGGGAGGGGAAGGGGTATGGGTATTGAACCCAGGGATGCTTTACCATTGAGCCACATCCCCAGTCTTTTTTATTTTTGAGACAGGGTCTTGCCAAGTTGCTCAGGCCAGCCTCCAACTTGCGATTCTTCTGCCTCAGCCTCCCAAGTCACTGTGATTATAGGTATGTGCCACTGCACCTGGCTGAATTCTTGAGTTGTTATGCTCCAACATAAATATGCTTTTAGATTTATAAGACTTGAGTAGCACAAATTGGTAAATTTAGGGATATTTAGATTATGCCTCCATGTTCATTTCCCATGCCTTACGAGGATTTACTTTATAAACAAACACTTCAAAAGGGATAAATCAAATATAATCAGTGTCCTTAATTAGATCCCATATTTCCCCAATACTTCCCGTATCATATGTAGACTATACTTACAATGAATTTCCAAGTGTCCTTTGCTACTGAGAAGGCAATCTGTTCCCCATAAGCACTCCCTGAGAACATCATTCAAGTTCCCTTGCAAAACAAATGAACTGAGCAGGCAAACACCTGAGCTCTAGCTGTATACAGATAGTTAGCAGGCAGCACATGCATGCTCGTGGCAACCTAAAATCAGACATCCTTATGAAATAGTGACTGAGGGAATGGCTGTAGTTTTTTTTTCCCCTGCCTCTTGCTTTCCTAAGTTGAGATTTCTATTTAATATTTATGACTCATTTTATTTTTCTCTTAAAAACACTTTTAGAAGGGAGCAGGGACTGACTACAAGAGGACTGTCAAGGAACTGGGAAGGCCAAGTGCCTTGAAAAGCTTTATGAAGAATACCCGGTTGGGGAATGCAGCTCAGTGGTGGAGCACTCACCCAGCAGGTGTGAGGCCCAAGGTTCCATCTCCAGCAGTGCCAACATAAAACAACAAAAAACAAAACCAAACCAAACCAAACCCCACCCCAAAACAAAACAAAGCTAAGAGAAAAAAACCTGTCTAGGTCTGTCAATGGAAAACTATTCAAAAGAAGAAATAGAAGGCACAAACTTTGGATTAAAAAAAAAAAAATAAAGGCAGTAACTTGACTAGGGTTGATGGAAGCAACACATTGGTCTTGGAGAGCACTGCCCCACACACATTCATGTCAAACTGCTCCAACACCACGGTCACCGTCACTATGTTAGTTCTCTGCATATTCTCTGGCTCGCTTAGGAAGAGGACAAGAGGACGGGAACACAGTGACACTCCTGGCTGCTTCAAAGCAAGTTCGTCAGGAAGGAACAAATTAAAAAACCGAAAACGACACCCTAACCTCAGAACTTCCCCTTCTGACATTCACAGTTCTGGGAAGAAATGATTTGATAAATGTGTTTTGTGGGTAGAAAAAACAAACCAAAAATCATCCTCTAACTCAGGAAAACAAAGGCTGGACTGTGTGGCCTTTTAACTTTATAAACACATTTTAGGGTTAACTTTAGAGAAATTAAAATAATAGTATAACTTAATTTTAGCAAATATAAATTAAAATGGCCATCTAGATATTCAAATAGCAAAATAGAACAAAATATACATAAGTAAAAACTTTTCTAAAGTAAACAAATGTACATCTCAGAATTCATTAGATGTTCATTGTGTGTTCACTGTGTTTTAATCAGGCTCAGAATGAAATAAAATGAAATAAAAGTAGTCAATTTAAACCCCAACCTGGAGTCAATTTAAACCCCAAGCCCATTCCTGCCATGGATGTGATTTCATCTTTTTAGCATCCAGTGGTCTTCATTTAGAAAAAGTGCAACTGTCCATGTAAACAGTTCTACGTCTCAGTCCCCTGCTGTGGACCCAGGGCCAGTGAAGGAGAGGTTGGGAGCAGCAGATGGACAGGAGCACTTAACACCTAAGAGAGCCATGCAGCCTCTGCTACCAGCCTCAGGGCTTCCCATCGGGGGGCTCGGGGAGACTCTGGGGGGCAGATGTGGTGAAGGTAGAAAGCCATGAAGACATAGCTGTCCTTGCACTGGAAAAAGCTCCTCCAACTGACTGACCTGGGTGGAATGACAAGGATAAACAAGGAAAAATGTCAGCGAGAGAATAATGCTCATTAATAAAGTCAACTCACTGGACGCCAATTAGGAAAATAACCATTTACATTTCTGGTTTCAAAACAATCCCTCTCCATATGGGAATATCTTATAGGAAACTGGATGATTTTTTTTTGTGTATAGGAGTCCACTCTTGCATTTGAAAGATGGACAGGAGCACCTAACACCTAAAAGAGCCATGCAGCCTCTGCTACCAGCCTGTTTATCAACCTGTTTAATGCAGTATTAATATCAACACTGGCTGTGCATCAGAATTATTTGGAGAGCCTAAAAAGTAAAAAGTGCTCTCATACCTTAAATATTGAGTTGATTATTGATAATAACCTAATCAGGATAGAGTGGTTAGGTTGTCTTAGGGAAATTTGCTTTTTATAAGTTAACACTGTGTTACATTCACCAACTATAGAGCTCTATCTACCTGAAAAGTTGATACTAACATGAAATTATTTAAGTTGAATCACATTCTGAGAAAGGGGAATGCAGAAGAGAATTGGCCTTTGAATGGATGAATTTATTAATTGGTACTGGGATTAAACCCTGGGGTACTTAACCACTGAGCCACATTATCAGCCCTTTTTGGTAATTTATTTAGATACAGGGTCTTGCTGAGTTATTTCGGGCCTTGCTAAGTTGCTGAGGCTGGCTTTGAACTTGTGATCCTCCTGCCTCAGCCTTTCAAGCCACTAAGATTACAGGTGTGCACCGTCATGCTTGGTTTGGACTTATTATTATTAGCAGTGGCATCACTAAAAATCAAGTACAATAGCTGAGTGTGGTAGCACACGTCTGTAATCCCAGCAACTCAGCAGGCTAAGGAAGGAGGATCATAAATTCAAGGTCAGCCTATCAAGATCCTGTCTTAAAAATAGAAAAGAACTGGGGATGTAGCTCAGTGGTAGAGCATTGCCTAGAATGCATGAAGAACCTGGGTTTAATCCCCAGTACCACAAAAACAAAACAAAACAAAGTGAACCTGTACTACAGCTATAAGTCCTGTGTTTATCTTTTTTTATTTTTAGTTGTAGTTGGACATGACAATTTTATTTTATTTATTTATGTTTTGATGTGATGCTGATAATCAAACCCAAGGCCTTGCTAGGCAAGTGCTCTACCACCGAGCCACAACCCCAGCCCCTATGTTTATCTTTTAAAATGAGCCTGTGGAGTTCTTTCACTGTCCTTCTAGGGATATAGGATGTTGGAACTATAAGGATCTTAACATGGAGCTTTTGAACTGTTTAGTAAGGGTCAGTTAACCTTTCTCAGGAACTAAGAAATGAGAGATGCTCTACTTGTATGACAAAGCAAATGAAGCAAAACATAATTGGCAAGTCAGAGATAAACTGAGTTCCTTTTACTATTACAATGCTTCTAAGTTTGAAATTAAAAAAGGTTAAAAGTATAGAAAAGGAATGAGAAATAACTTTAGAATAGTTACGGAACAATCTTCAAAATATTTTAAATGCCTGGGCACAGCGGCGCACACCCGTAATCTCAGCTACTTGACAAGCTAAAGCAAGACAATCACAAGTTCAAGCATAACTTGGGCAATTTAGTGAGATCCTATCTCAAAATAAAGGAGCTGGGGATGTACCTCATTGGCAAAGCACCGCTTAGCATGCATGAGGCCCTAGATTAGATTCCCAGGACTCCCCCGCCAATTTTTTCTTTAATTTAATTTTTATCAAGATAAGGTTTGGTCATGTAGCTTGAGTTGGTCTCAAATTCTTGGATTAAGTGATCCTTCCATATAACTGGGACTATAGGTATGTGCCAATGTGCCTGTCTACCAACATTTTTTTAAAAGCTTACCAGGACAGTAAGGATGAATCACTGACCTGAGGTCCTGGTCATGAATTATACTTTGATCTCAGTCAACATATAATTTTTTTTTTTTAAGTGAAAAAAGCTAGGTGCAGAATTATATACTTAGCATGCTATTATCTGTCTGGCTTTGGTATCTGGGTCAATAACAGCCTTAGTTCAATGCACTATTTTCTGAAAGATTTTGTGTAAAACTAGTATTACTTCTTCCTTATATTTTTGATAGAATTCAATGTGAAGCCATATAGGTCAAGATTAAATTTAAAACCTGTGGCAAAGTTTTAAATTTTAAGTTCAATTTTTCTACTAGATATATAAAGTTATTCAGATTTTCTGTTTTTTATTGCATCAGTTTTGATAATTTGAGTCTTTCAAAGAATCTGTATATTTCATCTATGTTGTCAAATTTGTTGACATAGAAATGTTCACAATGTTCCTTTATTTCTAATTTCTGTAAGATCTATAGTGATGTACCATTCTTCATTCTAATATTGGTTATTTGTGTCTTCTCCTTCTCTTTCTCTTTTTTTGGTACTGGGAATTGAACTCAGTGGTGCTCTACCACTGAGCCACATCCCCAGCCCTTTTTATTTTTTATTTTGAGATAGGGTCTTGCTAAGTTGCTAAGGGCCCTGATAAGTAGCTGAGGTTGACCTTGAACTTGCAATTTTCCTGCCTCAGCCTCCCAAGTTGCTGGGATTATATGCTACTGTGCCTGGCATTTCTTCTTCTTTTTATCAATCTATAAAGGCTTTATAAATGTCTTTGATCTATTTTTTTCTTTTTTTTTGGTACCAGAGATTGAACCCAGGGGTGCTTAACCACTGAGCCACATCCTCAGCCCATTAAGTATTTTATTTAGAGACAGGGTCTCACTGAGTTGCTTAGGGCTTTGTTAAGCTGCTGAGGCTGGCTTTGAACTCAAAATCCTCCTGTCTCATCCTCCCGAGCCACTGGGATTACAGGCATGTGCCACCATGCCCAGCAATATCGTTGATCTTTAGCAACAACAAAAAACTTCAACCTTTAGTTTCATTAATTTTCTTTGTCATGTGATACTACATCAGAAGATAGCAGCTCCTAATGTCCATTTTATTTTGAGTCTCTGCTATTTATAAAGAACTGTGGACATCTCAGGGAATGGTGCAAAACACTCTGGTGAAGTTTTGACCCTGGTGGCAGAATAGTGATCTCATTAGAAAATTTTGTCACTACCCATCAGATATGTGAAATTAATGAATCCTATATTATCTGGTGTGATAAGAACTTTTTTAAATAGGTAAGATGAAAATTTGAAACCCCTTTTGTATTATTGTAATATGTAGTTCTCAAAAACTCTGTGTTTTTATCAATTACATATTGAGGGCAGAAAATAGAAATGTACAACTCCAATCTGTTCCTGGTTAAAGGCATGCCTTACCAACAGCTTTTCCTGTTTGTACAACATTCCGGCTAGTTGTGACCATGACGTTTCCAATTTTTTTGCCACGTTCACTATTCTGAACAGAACTGAGTAAGAGAGACAAGTGTTAAGTACAATTTAAAAAAATCTCACACATGCACACATACATTCATCACTCTATAACCATACCAAGTTAGAATTATTAAGAAGCTAAAATTATTCATTATTTGTTATAAAATCTATTAACCATTTAAGTGCAAATTTTCAGAATATACTGAAAGATTTAGATGAAACAAACAAACAAAAAGGTGAAGACATAAGGATGTGTAGTTAAATCTCCTAGATAGATGTGGTTTGCCAAAGGTACTTCACCAAAATAAGAATGGCAAATCCTATTATTAGGATTAACCTCCCTCTCTATCATGGAACAAAAGTATTTTTACTTTGAAATATACACACTGCCAAGCTAGACAATGTTATGCATATATTTGGTTACTATTTAAAGCACAGTTTATCAAGCAGAAAAATAAAATTCCTAATTAACAATGAAACACATGGCATAAATTTCAAGCAAAAGAGTTTTCCCYATATTTTTTGGGGTACTCACTGAGAGAATCTTAACTTCATGTCTGATACTGAGTACTGGCCTTGAAATGGATGGCTGTAAAACAAAGAGTTACCATATACACAAAAATTAGTAAACTTCTCAAGGGTGACATAACTGGGTCATAGCTTTCTATTAACACTATGAGATTCTAAAGAGATTACTCAAACCCTCTTGAGTTTTAGTTTCCTCCCTTGTTAAATGTGTGTGTGTGTGTGTGTGTGTGTGTGTGTGTGTGTGTTTGTGTGTACGTGCGTTTGGGAGAATGGGCAGTTATATTATTGTACCCTGATATTCTGAATTATTTGGTCTGGGTTAGGCTCAAGCATCAACATTTATTTTTTTTCTTTAATTTAATTTTATCAAGATAGGGTTGGCCATGTTGTTCGGGTAGGTCTCAAATTCCAAGATTAAGTGATCCCATAGAGCTGTGCCTGCCCATCAACATTTTTTAAAAGCTCACCAGGACAGTAAAGGTGAGTCACTGACTTGAGGCCCTGGTCATGAATTATACCTTGATCCCGGTCAACTTATAAATGTGTGCTACTGGTCATGAGAGGTAGGTGGACCAGCAAAAATCCATACTTTGTTAAAAAAGCAATTAAATATGCAGGTCTTGCTGGAAATGGTGGCACACGCCTATAATCCCAGCAGCTCAGGAGGCTGAAGCAGGAGGATCTTGAGTTCAAAGCCAGCCTCAGCAGTTTATCGAGGCCCTAAGCAACTCAGTGAGACCCTGTCTCTGTGGTTAAGTGCCCGGGTTCACACCCTGATACCAAAAAAAAAAAAAAAAAAAAGAAAAGCAGGTCTTCAAAATGGTACTATATTATTAAAACAAACCGGGAGGCTGAGGCAGGAGGATCACTTGAGCCCAAGAGTTTAGGGCCAGCTTGGGAAACACAGCAAAACCCTTTCTCAACAAACAAAAACAAAAATAAAACCCCAAACACACATCTTGACTACAGTCAGACTATGAACGAATAGGTCAAGAAATCCAAATCTTTGTGCTGGGGCTGTAGTTCAGTGGCAGAGTGCTTGCCTAGCATGTGTGAGGCACTGGGTTTGATCCTCAGCACCACATAAACAAATAAAATAAAGGCATTCTGTCCATCTACAATTATAAAATATATTTAAAAAAAAGAAATCCAAATCCTTACCTCATATTCAGGGGTTCCTCTGTCAAAGTCTAACAAAACATAACCCTGGTAAATTCTTACTCATGCAAACTAGGCAACATCCCCAGCCTTCCATAGCTGCTCATTAAGTGCTATTTAAAAAATGGCAATGAATTGCTCTGGGTCAAATTAAGCATATGTAACTCTTCCTCCAGAAAAATTCTGAATTCCTGAATCACAAGACTGAAAAACCGTGGAGATCACATAGTCATTCTTTCTGTTCCTGGAAGGCTGTATTTTAGGAATGAAATGTGCCCTTGGCTTATTGAAAATGGCCTTTTCTAATCTTTAGAAGTTGAAAAGGGTTTCACAGATAACAAAAATTACAATTAGTTTGGAGTATTTCTAAATTATACTTAAAGACTATCACTTTTCTTTCTTGTTCCTCTTTTTTTTTTTTTTTTTTTTGATGGTGTTGGAGATGGAACCCAGGGCCTCACTCATGCTAGACAAACCAAACCACTACCACTGAGCTGCACCCCAGCTCCCATTTCTTGTTTTTAATCTGGTAAAAATATTGAAAATCTGCTATCTTGACCATACAATTACCCTAGTTAATAAATCTTTCTTCAGCCTCCTCTCAACTTACATAACTTTAAAATTTTATTTACAGTCCTTTAAAACTTACTCCAAGTAAACTCACTCTCATGGACCTGCATTACAGTCTGCAGTGCTGGTTCAAGATGAAGGCACTAGCAGCAGTAACTAAACTCTTACAGTTCATTATGTTAACTAAATGATAACTAAACCCACATTAGCACCAAACCTATTAATTTTTCTTGATAGAGACATTTTTCCCCAAACTCTTCTACATCACTTTACCCCCACACACTTCCCCAGGTCACTACCGCTTAAATATCTGGGTGTGTGTGCAGGGGTGTCCTTTTTAGGACCATTTAAATCACATCCTTAATTAAATAAAATTAAACCTTGCTCCCAAGTAGGATGGCAGTCAGTACAAAGTTGACCTTTGTGAATTTTTTTTTTTTTTTTTTTTTTTGGTACTGGGGATTAAACCTGGGTCCTAGGGGTGTTTTACCACTGAGCTATATCCCCAGTTCTTTTTATTTTGAGACAGGGATTTGCTAAATTGCTGAGGTTGGACCTAAACTTGTGATCCTCTTCCCTCAACTTCCTGAGTTGCTGGGATTACATATGTGAGCCACCATGCCTATCCTTTTTTTTTTTTTTTTAAGTACTGGGGATTTTTCTGCAATACTGGAGAACCCAAGGTCTCACACATGTGTCCATTTCTTACCAAGAAGTAAAAGTTTAAAATGCACAAACATACACACATATAAAACCAGTCAGGTATGCTTATATCATTAAAGACAACATCATTTAAATCTTTTAAACATAAGTTCCCAGCATGTATGAATTATATCAATCGATCTCCTAGGATTCTACTCTGTTGTATTCACACCCAAATGTTATTTCATAACTGTATCACTCCACAGTATATCTTTTATGCCTACATGGGATAGTTTGTCCAGTCAATATTTAGTATTGTGGCAGGTATTAAATTTTGTTGCATTTTAGAATCTCAGATATTTCCTTCTAAACTTAGTCTTGTTTGCTCACTCAGCTGAAGTACAGCTCTAGGGAAAGTGAGAGAAGATCATTATGTTCTGAGCATTACCATGTCAAGAACTTCCACTATGACCACATCAATGCTGGAGAAATGTTAATCCTTCCAATAATATCTTGTGTTTTTTGTACAAAGACTTTGAATATGAAAGCAGTTTTTAAGCTGCTTCTCTGTATGTAGGTTTTTTTGATTTTTTTTTTTTTGGTGCAGGTATCAGGAATTGAACTCAGTGGTGCTCTACCATTGAGTTACATCTCCAGCCCTTTTCATTTTTTGTTTTGAGACAGGGTCTTACTAAATTGCACTGGCTGGCCTTGAACTTTTTTATCTTCTTGCTTTAGCATTCCTGGTTGGGTGAGGTATGCCCTGGGATCACAGGTGTATACCACTTCTATGAGCTTTTTAATAAACTATTTAATGTGATTCTTGAAGATATTCACAACATCAAAATTAAGACATAGTTTTCTTTGTATAGGGCATACTTAGTAAAGAAACCATTTTATGTACTATCAGTCTTCAGAGGATGTGCTTACTTTGGATTTATTTCTGCAAGTGCTGGATGCTTGTTGCTGTTCCATACTCTGTAGTTGTGAGTATTCTTCCATGCTGTAACAAAAGTTGTCCCATAGTCCGATATTATCTTTTCATTATCTGTCAAGTAAATATTTGAAAGAAGTTGATCCTGTCTGTAGCCTTTCACAATGTGAAGATTAACAACCATAAAGGGTGAAGGAATGGCTTTATCCCCCACTCCCCCAACTTGTTTTGGGAGATAGCCTACCAGATGTCAGGAAACTTGGGTCTAGTTCCAGAATCCTGTTAAGAAGCTATGTGGTCTTTGACAAGTCACTTAATCCCTCAGAACTTCATTTTCCTAACTGGAAAATAAGAGGGTTGAGCCAGATATTTTCCAAGGTTCCTTACAACTCCAAAATGTTTCCCTGTTCTCTTTACTTACTATTACAAGGACAGCATTATTTATTAAACAAAAACTATCTATTTGATTGTGAATAAACATACTGGTTTATACATATGGATAAGGCAGTTAGGATATCTTTCTTTGCATAAATGTTATTTTTCTACAAAAATAAGGTGACTACATATATTAGTTCTTTTTAAAACATATTTTTAGTTGTAGATAGACACATTTCCTTTTTTTGTGCAAGGCAAGAGTTCTACCACTGAGCTAATACTTAAAAATAATATAAATGGGGATTTTCATACTTAATGCTCAAAGTTTTCAAAGCAGAGCATTTCTTCCACTTGGGAGAACAGAAAACGGAGAACATATTCAAATGGCTATTGCTTTATGTATTAACTGCATGTTTTTTGCTGTGAAGGTAAAATACAAGTACCTTCTGTTGCTAGAAAAAGAAGAGTAGGAGATAGGAGGCTCCATTTGCAGTATTAAGGTTTTTTTTTTTTTTTTTTTGGCAGGAGGGTACTGGGGATTAAACTCAGG